TTAACTTAAAACACAAACAACACGATAGGATATAAAGTTTGAGAGAATAATTGGTATACTGTACTGTATTTCTGAAGTGCCATTCGTTTTAGGGTTGCTACAATCAGGAGTTACAATCGATCAAACAAAGGAAAAGCACTCTATTTCCTTACATTCCAAAAAGGAGGATTTTGGATGCTATTTAAAATTTGCTGGAGATTGAAAAATTAACTGTGTGACAAAAGCAGAAGCATGATCTCAAACATCAGAACCCAGCTTTTATTGTTTAAAACTGTCGGGCCCCATTGAATGAAACTACGGTATTATAGATTATATTATATTTTGTTTGAACAATGTCGGGGGTGGGGGAGGGGGAGGCCCTCGCACTTGGGGCCCTGGCGTTCCCCTCTCCCCTCCGTCAGCGCCCGAGACGCCACTGATGTAACAACTGCTGATTGTAGCAACCTCAAAAACGAACGGCGCTTCAGAAAATACAGTACAAGTATACCAATTATTCTCGCAAACTTCATATCCTATCGCGTTGTTTTTTATTGAAGTGTACAGTTTTTTGGAATATTTTAAAATCCTTAAGTTAACTTTTTTTTTAAGTTTTTTATTTTTTATTTTATTTTCAATGAAAAATAAATGCGATCGTTAATATTGACCTTGGTACAATGTAAACCTGTAATCATAATGACTACTTATACAGAATTTTACTATATTATAGGCCTAGACTAGGACCAGGCCTCCTACTATAGTACAGAGGCCTAGTCCAAGACCTTGTTGCAAATCCCAGCCCATATAAAGCCTAGCCTGTAATGCCTAGCATAGGCAGGCCCGTAGGCAGGATTTTCGATGGGTAGGTGCGTTTTGCAACCGAAGTGGACCTTACGATGGGCGACTGCCTAGGGGTCCCCGCGAGGATGAGGCGAACCTTCTGGAAGCTCTGACAAACTATCATTTTGAGGGCCTTTTTTAATGGATTTCTAAAATCCATAATTTGTAATATCCTATTTAAATTTTCATTCATTTAAGTATTGTCTAGGGACCTACAGTAAAAGCAGGAGAAATAGAGGGTGGGGGTGAAGGGAGGAACTTGAGACAGATGGTCAATACCACCTCAGCCCCATGATTGGAGCTGAGGCCACATTATTAAAAATCAACGGTTAGATACGCTGGCAAATATATAATGTATGCAGGCATGCTATAACATTTTGTGATAACTAGGAACGATTTTGTGAAATCATAGGTTTCAAAAAGTGTACCTTTTGGAATTTGGGGGGGGGGGTGCGTCATTTTGGGAAACTAGATGTACATTTTGAGAAATTTACGCCTACGTTTTGATAAATTAGACATTTACATTTTGATTTTAACATGGACTTTTGCTGCGTATGGCACCCCATAGCTTCAATGTCTTCTCCAGCGTGACCACTCACAATTTTTTATATACCCAATGACTGGGTCGAAATTACCCAAGATTCAGCAAAAATTGTCCAAAATTAGCAAAGCTTCATGAAAATGCATTAAAATTTGGAAAAAACGTGTTTTTCGTATGTATAGTTTCGCTTTTAGTATTCATGAGGCGATAATACGGATGGAAGAATACGCCCTCAGTCGGCCAGAGTTATCATTAGATCTCATCAGTGATCAAGTTTTATTATGTAATGTATTAATTAGGTAGGATCAATGGCAACGCAAATCACAAATAAACAATTTTGAATCCATGTTTATAGCAATTAACAATGTTATGTGCACTTCGTTGAGTTTTGCTTACTTGAATCGACGAAATATACTTTGTTACTTCATAATTCTTCTTCTATGACAACAAATATTTAATTCATTTAGCAGCCATATTAAATTTCAAGGTGACCACCATGTAAAACATGTTTTGTTCTTTTAAATGTGTTTACTGTACTGCATAGTCAAAGAATAACATCAAAAGTAGTGACATGTATTTGTATTTATTATATTCCATTAGATATTGGAAAAAGTCTGATATCAGATATTGTATTTAATGTGAAATGATAAATTGATATTAAAAAGAACGGTATAATATATACTGTATATATATTCATTATTCCGAGTAAGCTTCATTTGGCGTTAACTCTTCCTCTATGACTAAAATATTTTATTTTCTTAGTAAAAATAAAATACCCAAGGATTTGAACGGAATACCCAAGAACCCAAGACCAAGTCAAAATAACCAAGATCTTGGGTAAATACCCGTCACACTGGTCTTCTCATCATCGGTGATAATATCTGATTAATTAATATTCATGATTTTGTTGTGGAGTGACCCAGGCCTAATACATAATGCATTATACTATTTTAACACTGTGTGTGCGCGCGAGTCGTAGCATTAATACGTATGTGAAGAAGAAGCGACACCGTTATTGTTTTGGATTGGTGGTCACGTTCTTGGCGATCATCCGAGTATAGGTTGGGTCTGAAACCTAGCGGTTTTGAAACACCTTTCTACAATAAATTCGGTGATCGTTAACTCGAGTTTGTAAGTATGTCCAATCCAGGCTTAGGTGGCGTTGGTCTAGATGATAATTTAGATGATAGAAATACACAAGAAGTGAGTTTCAAGGGTGGAAAATTGAGCCTTGCTGACGATGTTAGCACTTTCAGGCCAAATGATCCGAAGGACGAAACAATCATGAACGTGGATATTCCTTCGATCCGACGGTCCAACTCCGTTTGTGGTCGCCCCCAGACCAATCCTCTACCAGACACAATACAGGATTGTTTTTTTGCTGGAAAGGTTTGTGCTTTTTAAAAGTTTGTATAGGCCCTAGTATACTTAACCTATTTATTTCAGCTGATAAAATTGAAAAAAATATTGTAACGAATTTCGGGTGTGTGGCTGGTGCAACATGCAGAAGATGCGCCATCATCAGATAGCGAGGAGGCAGAAAGGCCAACCACCAGGCCTAGCCCTACCCAGGGCCTAAGCCTATGCAGCCTATTTATTTAAGCAAGGCTGAGCCTAGGATGTGACATCTTATTTTAATAATAGGGCCTAATAAATGTGCCTTTAATTATAATATGACTTCTTATTTATGTTTTCTATTTTTACTTTCTAAATTTGATTGTTTATAATAATTAAATATTTCAGAAAGGTAGAATGGAAGGAGCAGTAAATGACTGCAAGCAGAAAGTCCTGGATGAAAATGATGGCAAAGTACAAGGTGTTTGGTTGTTAACTGAGTAAGTACTTAAAATGTTTAAATCAGAATTTTAATCCTATAAAAGATGATAATGGTGGTGTTATTTTAAGGTTTCTGGTTGGTTAGCAAGTAAGTGGTAATGTTTGTAGAATTCTTGTTTGTGCCTCTTGCGCTGTAGACTGGTTCATGACAGATTTGAATTATGTATTTTGAGCACCTGCTTGTTCAGCACCCTTGATTCCTCATTTTGAAAGAGAACAGTAAAGAAATACCTATCTCAAAGTAAAACCGGAAAGTGACTAATGCATTGATAGTAGTTCAGCGATAGTACATACAGTATAGTTTTGTTTTGATCAGCTGATGTTAGTTATGCACAGGGAAGTTTTCAATTGCGTTTTTATAAGCCATTCACAGCCAATAATGAAAGGTGTACTGTCTGCCTTCAAACTACAGTAATTGAAATTTATTTAATACATTGAATTACTCATTAAAACTAAAAACTAAGAAATTTATCAACTTCCAATAAGACACAGATCAAATTGGAAATTTTTAAAACAAAAAGATTTTCATCTAAATTTAAGGATTTAAGCAAAAGCTATAGAAATGTATATAGATCCATTAATTGTCAAGGGAGACATTTTCCATTAAAAGCAAATACAGTAGAACAGCCTCCTTTGTGACACCCTTATTATAGGAGCTCTACTGTAACTTACTTTTTATTCCAAGTCAGTAATCTAAATATTACAAATTTACGCTTTTTGCAATGATAGCAACGGAGTAGTATCACGTGGTATCGTGACGTAACACTGTAGTACTCTATACAGTGGTATATTTATGGAGCAATGGACTGTTCCCGAGTGTCAATCAAACTTAACAACTGACCAATCAGAACAGGGCTGTAAATATGCGCGTCTCAAATCACACATTCCAAAAACATACCTGTTTCCGTATGTTTTTACACTGTCATTTGTGGACCTTAGCAACAGTAACTTAGCAACAATATCCAAAGGGTAGGGCTTAGTGGAATGGTATATTTTATTTTAAAAAATGATACTGTTATAAAATTTAAGCACAACTGAGGCAGATTATTATTATTTATCATTACTTTTAACAGGATTGACCATTGGGATAATGAGAAAGAGAAGCTGGTGATGTTAACCGAGAAGATGCTTCTGATAATAAAGTATGACTTTGTTGTGGAACGAGTTAAGGATCATAAGAAGATTATGTTGAACTCAATTGACACTGTCCAGTTTGGTCTATTTGAGTATCCTGATAAAACTCTTGTACAGTATGTTGAATAATTTTAGTAATAAAACTCTTGTACATTATGTTGCATAATTTTATTAATAAAACTGTTTTACAGTATGTTGAATAATTTTATTAATAAAACTCTTGTACAGTATGTTGAATAATTTTATTAATAATTATTATTATTAAGTGGATAGCTTTTATTTTTAGTTTATATATTTCACTGTCATGACGATACAAAATTAAGTCAATATTCAGTATTGATTCTGTTTTCATGGAATATATTAAAAACACCATAAGCTCCAGTATCCCACCAAAGCTAGGTTTGCCAAGATCATTTGCTGGAATAAATTTTAAAATACAGACCTGCTAATTTTTTTGGATGCAAACAGTAATTTACGATAAAGGGAACACCCCTCTTAAATCCCCGCCTTGATATATGCTACATTCAAACATTTACCCGAATAAATATTTCTGTTGGGAGAATATTGTTATACTTTTTAATTGGTCATATTTGATTTCAATTCAATTCAATTTTTTTTCAAAATTCCACATATTATGGCCCGGAGGCCAAATTGCATGTGAATTACAATTGTTAAAACATTTCCCACAAACACCTTTCATTAGGCTACGTTTTAATAAATAATTTGTTACCTGTTTATAAAAATCAAGTATTAATGTTAAATATAATTCAATAAAATACATTTACATAAGGTGAGACTTGGCAAACTTATTTTTTTAATGATATCAAAATAAAACTAAAGTTTTTGTTTTCTTATTTAGGAGAAAATAAAAATAAAATTTTATTTTTAAATGTAAACAGTGTAGTAACAGGATCGTTAAATGCCTTAAATTTATATAATTAGTAAGAAATATACATGTCTTATTCTTGGAAATTCCAATTCAGTGGAGGGCGTAATACAAATAGATATTTTCATGGCAGCCAAAATAAAAATTTTAGTTTTATTTAAAGACATTGTTATTTGCAGGCGGCGGTTTCGCTAAACAAGGTATAAAAAGGTCTCGCCTAACTTTGGATTGCTTTTGTGAGCTCACTTGTTTGCCCCCCTGGATTGATGTGAGATTTTTTGTACCAATTAAAAAAAATAAATAAATAAAAATAAGTGATAAGTGTAGACAAGCAAATCATTCCATGTTATCCTATGTAGATTTCTGTCTTGGTAAAAGTGAATAATGAAAACAAGTCACAGTTTTCATGAGTTATTTTTTAAAATTGTTATTTATTACAGTCCAAGAGATGGATTTGGCCTTAAGTTATCATGGGGCAACGGACAACAGCCAAGCCTCGTTCAGATGTGGAACCCATGGAGCACCTCAGTACCCTGGATGATCTTCACATCACACCCCTTACAACACTCAGCAAGAGACACAAAGACTTACCAGGTATCACAAACACAAACTGATAGTGATTCATATTTATTTTTCTAACCTTCTTGAGATATTTGTTTTATTCAGCTTTAGGCACTAGGGCCAATGATATGCCAAGCAGTGAAATTAATCACTCTTCAAAGTGTGCAATCCCATCACAAGTTTCTTTAAAGTGCACATGAGCCAATTGTATATACTGGTCCTACAGTTATAGTTCTCCGAGAAGAATTGTTTCACCTCCAGAACCATAGACAAGTGTGCCGTTATTATGGCTGTAGTTTGCAGCACAACCTGCCTTAACCGTTTGGCCATTTGACTCGCCTAATCAAATGATCTGGAACAAACCCTATTTTCCTTTGCGTTACTAAAAAAAAAAGATGTTTAAAACTCTTTAACCATAGACACTGCTACATGACTGTAGCTTTTTCACACTGCAGCAATGTCGATGTAAGACAGTAGCTTTTTTTCGCACAGCGGCAGTGCCGATTTAACCAAGCCAGGTCAAAAACTGAATTTTGATTGTTAGTACAGTCTTGGGCATGACTTTATCTTTATTTTTATGAATATGGAAGTCGAGCAGGGGAAAATTAACCCCCTTCCACCAAACCTTTATTTTTCAATGTATATACAGTTGATCTTCCAAAGTCGAATCCAAAATGGTATTGAAAATTCTACTTACAGATTGTTAATTAATGGAAAACACGACAATTTGGCATGTAAAATAAGACTTAAAAATTATTCGAGTTAGGCAGCTTAGGAAAGTTAAACTATAATGAATAGAAGAGCGGTGGTATTGATGATTTTTAATAGTGATGGACAGTACAGTATATACTGTAGGTCATAACTTAATTTCTTTGGCATTTTGCACGTAAATGGAGATTGCAGCTAGTTTAGCTTTTATACATAAAGTAGAAGGATTATACATAGAAAGTGAATCAATAATTTCTAATTCTTACACTTTTATTTATACAATAGATTGAATCATTCAAAAATGCTGTCACTCAAGCAATTAAAGCAGCAAGTGGCAACAATGATCTGAATGTTAACGATGACCCCATACGTTTCACCATTCACGTTGGCCTCGGCTCGGCAGTTTATAACCAAAGCCGGATTGGCTTTTCCCGTGAGCGTGGTGGAATAAGCTTCTGAGGTGATGAACTTCTTGTGTATATTATATCAAGCAAATTACTGTTTACTACCTAAAAATATATCTCATACAATTTATGTCTTAATATTGTTGCAGTGTTCTAAGGTAAATTCAACAATTTAGTTAAACCCAGATTCACATTACTGTACTAATAATAATGTCCAAGTGTGTAGTAAAGCTAAACTGATAATTTATTCAGCTATCAGTTGTGTGGTATAAAGAGTTTGTGAAAACAAACCAAATCAGCTGTGTTGGTTTAAACAGATGGTGGAGCAGCCTAACCAGTTTTGTGGTTTAAACATGTTTACACATAACTTAGCTGTGCTGTTGAAACAGATGGTGCAGCCTAACCAGTTTTATGGTTTAAACATGTTTACACATAACTTAGCTGTGCTGTTGAAACAGATGGTGCAGCCTAACCAGTTTTATGGTTTAAACATGGTTAAGATTAACCTGCTATGTGGTTTAAACACATAGGGAATCTTAACAGCTTTTTTAAACCAAACCAAATTAGCTGTGTTGGTATAAAAAGATGGTGTAGTTTAATCAGATTTGTGGTTGAAACTGATGGTGAAGCTTAGCATTGTGGTTTAAACAAACAAAATCACCAATCATGTTCCAGAATTAATTATTTGTGACTTACAATACAACATTCTCATTAATTTGGAGTGCACCATCTCTGTTTAACAACATCTAGTTCAGTTGACCACACTAGTAATAATCCAGTTAAATGGCTTTAAGTTCAGTGTTAACCAGGCTTAAGTGCCTTTAACCTGATTAAGCAAAACCACATGTGTGGTTTCAGGACGATGAATGTTTCCAAACGTAAGATGTATATATTCAAGAATAGTGCAATTGATAAATAAATTCTACTTTATTTATATTGGCATATTTATTTTATGATAGGTAGCTTTTGCAGTTAACATTCTTAAATGGTTGTCTTCAGTGTATGTAATAAGACTTAGTACAATATAGTAGAAAGCATGATAGTCAAATTATATTTAAACCTTGAGGGCAGTATACTTCCTCGTTAGACAAAAATATGTATGGAGCACAATGTCCACTCCAATACTTTGAATATGCACGTACAGTAATAGAGGGAAATGGCGAACCGAGATGACGTCACTGAAATTTGGCGAGTTGGGTATGGAATATAAACAAATCGAAACTCGCTATGTTATTGTGTATGAGGTGTGTTGAAAAAGGTAAATAAACGAATGTTTTAAACACATTTAAAACAGTAGCATGGCATTTTTTACAATGCCCTGTAACATTTTATATTGTATAGGCAGATTTGAACACATTTTAGTTAAATTTGTATTTAATTAAAACCGTAAATTGGCGCATTTGTGTCACCTACCAGCCAACCAAGTGCTAGGCCAGGCCTACCTAGAAAGTCCACTCAAAATGATCCAGGCACGTTTGTGTCTGTAGGCCTACCTACCCACTGCTTCGTTGGTAAGTGGATAATTAGTGTTCGTTTTATTTTTTGGACCCAAGTATAGTCCATTATTATGGTAATAATAGGTTTACAGTTACATTTTACAGTAGTATTAACAAAGTGTAGCTTGACTACTGTAGGCCCCTACTACTACTGTACTGTTAGCCTACTGGTTGTAGCCTACTGTAGGCTAGCTAGACGTGGCATCTTGGGCTGGTCTAACAATAATTAATACTGTAGTTGATTTTGGTTAAGTCTATTTTACTTTTACTCAACTTTGTTAAAGCTTTCATCCATCGCCATAGGCAGGCAATCACCCCACCGTGTACATATTTCTCCTTAAAGAAAGTCCACAATTTCCCATCCGTCTCTTTTACTCCTTTAGATATCCAATCGCTCATAGTGAGCGGAGTAAATTTTGGAATATCTGCTAGTGATTTTTTAAAGTTTAAGTTCCGTTTGAAATTACAAATACAGCAAGAATCATGGGTATCACAACAAAAACATTGAGAAGCGGCCATGATTGCTATGTATAAAGATAGGAAATTAGCGTCCTCAACGGTTTATTATGATTTATACCCAATACGATTGTCGACGTCTGTTTGCCATTTCCCTGTATTGTAATCTGTAGTTCATCTAGCAAAGCCTCCTAGTACTGTTGTGCTGCCCTCAACAGCATTTTAATCTACAACTTCTATTATAATACTTGTACTGTGTTAACAGTTATTATTATTTCAATTGGGTGTAAAGTCAGTCATTGCGTACTGTGTGTTGTTTAGGTGTCATAAGGTGTTTGATCTTTTCTATATAGGGTAACATTTAATTATAATTCTATTTTTTGTAAACTGAATGCAGTGTCAACTATCACAGTGGTCATAGAAGTTCATCTGGATCTTCCATTACCAGCGCTATACAGATTACCATTATCATTTATTATTATTATTACGTTCATGACATCATGTACATCATCTTTATAGTCTCTGATTATCATTGTCATCCTCTTTACTAGCAACAATTTTGTCATTCTCATTATAATGCACTTGCTTCATTATGTCATCAGTGAATGTGTGAAATAGATGGTACTGTAGCTATTTAACAGTGTTTAGTCTGGAACAAACTTAGTTCCATAGGTTTACAGTGTTCAGAGTTGATACTCTCGTTAAAATATTTGTTCTAAGAAGCTAGCGTAGAGTATTTAGGAATTTTCATCACGGTAATTTTGTATATTTATATTACACCTACTTTGGTTCAATTATTATTTAATCAATCTAATTATAATTCAATCTTTGTATATAAAGGGGTTTTTATAATACTTTTACACTATATTGATAGTTTTTCTTGATTTATTTATTTTTTGGTAATGACAACATATAAATAATTTACTTTTAGCATATTGTGCAAGCTTCATGGTCTAGTGGTATGACAGCAAGCTTGAAACTGGTAGTCATAGGTTTGATCCCTGCAGGGTAACTTGTAGTTTGTATTTTCGCTTGAAATATAATCTATAAATTAAACATTCCGAAAGTGTGTTTTTTGAAGTCAGTTGTCTGAATAAACCTGTAGCTCTATATTTTCTCGATTCAAACACAATATGCATTTACAAAACAATTTTGACAATTAAAATATACTGTACAGTAATTATAGGTCTACCTCTAATTAATAGCTAACTCTAATTAAAACCACCTTTCTGAAGTGAATACATGTACCTATGGTTTTCTTTATAATATTTACAAGTACAAACCAAAGCTGCTAAAGACCATGAAAACCTGTAGTGGTTTTTAATTAGGGAGACCTGTATTAAATACAATATTGCTTCTGAAACTATGATCAAATAAGTGCTATTTTTCTGAAAGTTTGATCAATTTTTTTTTCATATGAGCTGCTAAAATTGGAGAATAATACATTTAGTATGAAATACATACAGTATGATGCTCTTTCGCTTTATACACGATTCAAGTGATACCAGATATTCATATTAATTACGAGCTTATCATATATGAAATTATACCCTCTATCCCAATTATGATAAAAAAAAATACAATGGAAATGATAGCTTATTCCACTGTCAGTTGTGGTTATAAACGCACATTGTTTTCATGTACTGTCTATGCGCTTAATAATAATAATAATAATAGTGTAGTTTTATATAGCGCACATATCCATCTAATGTAAGATGCTCAAGGCGCTTGAAATGTGGACTAGGAACTCGACCAATGACTTTCTTTGCCCCTAAGGCTTATCCAGTGTTATTATCCCAATCATAGGAACAAAAGCCTATGAAGCATACTATTAAGGTTTTATTACATTTTTTTATATGAGGGCCATAAATTTTTCCTAAATTATGCTTTGGAATCATGCACAATCATATTTTAAAAGCATTGTTGTATTTGCACTTATGGCGTTCCATATGATTAACAATTTGGGAGTTGTTTGGTTCCCTTGGAACTACGCAAGCGCTGTAGGACATTTTGGTAAAAATGTAAACGGGCCGATCTTCTATTTTGACCAAGCGGCGGGTGAACAGTAAATAGGTCATTTTTGAAACGGTTAAACACATTTAAAAGGCAGTATCATTACAGGTTCGTGCTAATTACAGGAATTTTAATGATTTGGCAAACTGTTAAAGGATTTGTCCTTATAAACGGGGAGTTTGGTTTGTTTTTCTAAGCGGCGTTTGTCTTGGCCTGATCGCTAAGCCAGGCTCCTGAACCACAGTCGACTGACTTTGAAGGGATCGCCGAGGAAGAGGTTACCTGTGTTCTGTGTCTACGGCTCACCCTAGCCTAGGCCTAGGCCTCGGAAGCCGTAACAAAGTGAAAATATTCAGTATCACTTGATTGCCTATATTGACTTGTATATGCAAGGAACTACGTTTTCTGATAATTTTATGATGGATTTTAAACGACATTTGTTTGTCACACAGGCATGAATGGGGAGATTCCTTAATCTTCGCATTTCCATCATCATCATCTGCAGAAATTAAAAAAGTGAAACAGATTTTACTTTTTAAAAGGCGATGATGAAGGGGTTTTTGAAGAGTAATGAGAGTGTGCTGCCATTGTCTCCTACAGTGACAGTGATTGGACGGGAAAAATGTGACATTGTTATTGCTGTAAGTTAAAAAATTAATATTTCATAATTACGTACAATAATAAAATACATTTTGGGTCTTCCTGCTGGTCCTTTACTTTCCGTTTTAGCTCTTCCTTTTTTTTCTTTTGACTGGTGTTTCTTCCGTTCAACTAATTATGTGTCTGTACCATTTTAATAATCTCCTTCATTTAATTCTTGCCCTCCATTTTTCATATTTCATTATAATCTAGCGTGACTAACCTTTTCTAGGGCACATAGAACAAATTATTATCACTCTTTTTTAAAAAAAATGATGAGGAAGGGCGTTTTTTTTTTTGTTTTTTTTAATAGATTATTTCGCTTTTGTTTTTATTGATGAGGGAGGGACTGTTTATATATTTGGCCCATAATAGTAAATATTGTATAAAAACTGGTTTAATTTTATATTTTTTTTAAAGAAAATGTATTTGAAGTCACAAAATTGCATTGTAATATTTTTATGCTGTTGCGTTGAAATAATTGATGCGGCAAAAAAAAATTTTTTTTTATTCCCGCATCAATATTTCCCAAATTTTTGATGCGGTGATAATCTAATAAATTTTTCTATTTGCCCTAATAGTTTAATGTTCGTTATCTTTCGTAACATTTTCCTATGATAGATGTCAATGCTTTCCTTTAAATCCTTGTTCATGACCCACAGTTCACTGTTATATAGGGAAATACTTGCAATGTTATAGTAATATGCTACTAATCGTCTCTGGATCGGCATATTTCAGTAAAAATTCAATTTTAATACAGTATATTTCACTTGCATATTGCATAATTATAATAGTGTATTCTGAAAAGAATTGAAAACGCAATGGCATGAGGGAACAAAACTCAACGTTATATGAATATTAAGTTTGCAGTTTGCCTCAATTAAATTGGTAATGACAAACAATATCAATGTCATTATTTTTCGTTAAAGCCTTGAAACTAAACTTCATCTAAATAATTAATTTGCTATACTAAATCTAATTACATACAGTTAGGATTCATCCAAAAATGATTGCTTAATGTACAATTTAATTGGTAACTTCGTAATTATTAATATTATTATGGCTGTGAAAAAGATATACGGTCAATAATTAATTGATTATCCATATTATACAGTTACCAAGGAGACATCAGCGGTCCATTATTTTTTATCAATCCTTTATCTAAGAACTTAACGACAGGCATGTGTACAAACATGCTGTGTTGGTCTTTTTTATTTGAACTCTTACTGTATGTTAGCCAGGATCATCATTCAGTCACAGTCTTTTGCAGTGAGCCTGGTAAATATTGATTGAATGTGCTTCTTTATCTATTAACCACCACTTACTATCTATTGATTCTAAAGGTTTATTTAGATTGCCTATTGAATGTGCCCAGCCAAGTGTAAACCTCTGGGTTTGTGTGACATGCTTTTTAACATGCTTGATGTACACTCCTCGATTTCATTTAGTTTCCATAGTAACAAACTATAACATTGGTGAAATAGTAATTTCATTATATTTCATTTGATGATTGTAAACAAGTTTGAATATTAAAATTATTGTTTTATTTTCGTTTAAATTAGTAAATTATTATAGTACTCTAATCATAAAATACTCATGACATAACAAATTATTATTACATCATTGTTGTCATAGTTAATAAATAACTTTTGCAGTATCTGGTATCATTTTAAATGATACAGACAATTGCTATAATAATCTCACTTGCTTAGTTTTGTTTCCAAGACAATAAATACATTTGTGTATTTTTTAACTAAACATTTTAATATATTATGTAATATTTTCTAATTTTTTTATATAGTCAACGGTCATTGAAGCACAGCATGCGATTATTGAGTACAGTGAGCAAGAGACATGTTTCGTACTCCAGGATCTGAACACCGCACATGGTACTTACGTCAACGAATGCCGCGTCCAGAATGCTGCTGTACGTCTGTCCCCGGGTGACATAATTCGCTTTGGGTATTGTGGAACACCATACCAATTGGATGTTGAGAATGCGCCTCAGGTGTCGTGTCCACCTGTACAACAGCATGCTGCATGGAATTCACAGCTTACAATGATAAACCACGAGGTACCATTATCATCGCAGGAGTCTTTACCGCATCTGAGTTCTTACAGCACTATTGACTCGAAAGCTGGTTCACAGTCGCAGTTGCCAGTGATCAGTGCTGCATATTCGGTACCAGGTGTTTCGTCTCCCACGTCATCAGCTTGGCAGTCTACAACGCCGTGGCCACCTACTAGCCAGCCTGTTAATGTAAACATGGCTCCAAGACCACCAAAACCGAGGCCATCAAGTGCGGGCACACGACGTGGTAGTGTCGGAGGAGTCAATGTTATTACACAGGCTAGCCCAACTAATAGTCCCCTGCCCCCGAGGAGAGGTGAGATGGCACTTAATTTCTTGGTGGCTAATATTCTCATATTGTAGTTTCACATTGTTTCTTTATCAATATGATTGGCTAAGATAATACTTGAATAGATTTTAACATTTTTTCTTTCTGATAGTGACCAGTGGCTGGGTGAGTTCTGCCGGTGCACGGACCATCCTCACATCCCAACAAAATCTTAGCAGTAGTCCAAACACACGGGCATCGCCGGTGAACGAAATGATGGCCCTACATGAAAAGGTATGATTATTTTCAGCTGCAATCATCCTATTCTGATCTCTCTGCTTTGTGCTAGTGCATGACCTTATTTATTAGACCTCTGTAACCTACCTCTCTGGTTTTCAAATTGCAGGAGCAAAAGATGTTACGTATGGGAGATGAGATCAACCGTTTAGCAGTGTTTGAAGCCGAGTCCCAGCGCAAGGATAGTGTTATTGGATCGTTACGTGATGAAGTCAACAGATTGCAACTACAATTACAAGAAGCCAGTAGAACTGTAGTACCTGATAGCAGCTATGAGCAACATGTCAAAACTCTAGAGGGCGATGTTCGTATGAAAGAGCTTGAAATCAACGCCCTTAGACTTCAGGTATACAACAGGTTTATTTTTAAACATTCTTTTTATCTATTTTGATGAAAATTCATATTAGTACATTAATTTCCATTTAGTTGAGATGATAATGCATTAGAATTTTAAAATACAAATATCCTGAATTTCTATCCAGCAAGTAAGTATTAATTTGCCAATTCGTAATTCGAACTGAGCATGCCCGTATCCAAGGTGAATCAACATGAACCTATGTGGTATGTACGTTTGTTTACGTCGATTAATCTTGATACCAGGCATGCACAGTTCAAACAGCGAATTGGCTTATACCTTTTTTTAGTCTCTAGCTGTGATTGCTGGCTACAGTATTAGAATCTGATGTGGATTGTTAGACTAAGTTTTTTTGGAGAAAGTTAATTCAGCTTTACATTTTTTTCAATTTCCATTTTACGATAGATGTCCAAGATGAGACCGGAAAGTTCTGATCCAATGGAGAATTTTGCAACCCTACGAAGCATTTTAAACACACGTGAGAAGGAGTTAGTCGTGTTGAAACTTGAAGTAGAAAAGATGAAGAAAGATCGTGCATCGACAGCAACATTGTTGACATCCTTAAACCGTGATGTGAATAATAAGGAGACGATGGTGAACAGGTTAAAGGGAGAGATAGAGATTGTAAAAAGGGAGCTAAGAGAGAAAGATGTCTCATTATCTGCAATGACAGCAAAGGTAAACAAACTGCTTTTTTATACAAATGAAGTGATTTTTTTTATTATTCCATGTCCAGAATTTGATTTTATTATTGGTGATAGTGAGGTTAATAATGTTAATGGTGGATATATTTCAGTACTATTACACTGATTTTCAAAGTGATACAGTTTAAACATAACAAAAATATATACAAAATAAAGGATTGTTTAACAAAAAATAAAAAGAATAAGTATAAAAATACACACACAAGATATAAACCAAGCAAGAGGAGAGTCAATGAAATACATTTCTGTAATAATATTGTTTTGGAATGAATGTAACAACATATTTTGACAGTTAATTTTTAATTCATTAGGAAGTTCATTCCACATTTTTGTTGCCTGGTAAAAAAAAGTCCATTTTCCTTGACTATTATTCCAAGTTGGGATGACTAGATTGTTATTTGTTTGGCTACATGTTCCTTTAGTATGAATATAACATACAGTACTGTATTATTTTTATTCTTAAGTATTTTTTATTGTGATAGTTAAAAAAGAATAATGATGGTTTGTGATGGTGCTGATGGTAGGTGAATATTATTGATGATGATAAGGAAATGATCAGAGTAAACCTAAATACCTGTATATAACAAGCAGGAGGAATAGTGAACTTAATTGTATACTTTATTATTAAATTAAAGTATACAATTAAGTTCACTATTCCTCCTGCTTGTATAATTTATTATTAAATTAAAGTGTGTATTATGATAGTGAACAATTTTTATGGTTGTTGGTGATGAAAATGAGGATAATTATGTTTGAGACAATATTTTGCTATCTAAACTATGGATTTGTTTTCCATTCTAATTTTTTGTATAACTTGCTTTATAAACTTTAACTTGTTAGTAGTTTTCATATTAATGTCATGTTTTTCATACTGTAATTATTATACATCTATTCAAATGTTACCACAACTTTTTTATAAGTTACTGTAAAAACCAAAGATAATTAACGCTATTATGAACTAAACCACACAAAATTTGCAAAACTTTTATCATGTAATCTATGTAACTGCAGTTCTCGAGAGTAAGAGAAACAAAACGACATGAAGAAGAAATGGCGGGAAAGAATAAGGAAATAATCACTTTAAAACACGTAAGTTTATGGTGTGCGTGCACTTCATCGTGTGAAATTAACATGCGTGTTATCCAATATTCTTTTCTTTTCATTAACTAGCAAACTCAGATAGAAAATAGGAACCGAGAAGAACTTGAAAAACAAGATAAACAACTTATCTCAATGAAGAGTGTAAGTTTGTCTAAATATGGACATTGCACTGCCATATTTGGTCATCACCATATTTGGTCATTACCATTTTTGGTCATTTAATGCTTTTGTCTTTACCACTGACTGCATAGTAATTCTCACTTGTGCAAGATAAGCAATTTTAGTTTTACTGTAGATACTAAGTTAAATATATAAAAAACTTATATTGTCCCTTGTTATCAAGGGTGGTGCCAGGATTTTCTCAACGGGGCTCTTCCCCCACTTACCCACTGGCGGCACACCCTGTTTGTTATGTAGGAATGAAATAATAATTCTACCCAACAGTAAATTTAATATTAAAAATGGCTTTAAATACTATACCTAACTGCCAATATTTCTCTAAATAGATTGCTTTTTGAAAAGTTTTTTATGCAAATTTTCTGATGCAAAATGCCTTCTTTTCAAATGTCTCCTAACTTCCACTCCACCCAGTTTTCTAGTAGCAGCTGAAAATGCATTCTTCATATCCACTTTTGAAAAAAGTGAAAATAATGTATAGATCTAAAATTCAATGGAATTGTAAAATAATTTAAAAAGAAAGAAAGTGGGGAGGAGGACACAGCCACAGACAAATTTCTACCTTTGTTTTTCTTAAAATTCAAATTCTCTATTTTTGTAATAATATATTCTTCATTTAACAAATGTTCTGATCATAACTGTCAATCATGTTCTACACACATAGCATGATTTCACAAAATGATTTTTGTTAAATGTTTGTGTCACACTGTCTATAATTGGTGGATACAATACAGTAATGTAACAGTAGTCTAATCAAAATCATTAACACACTACTTTTTGATAAAGATTTCTAATTAAATTTACAATGTTTATCATTAGCATGAATTGTATACTTTTGTTTAAAATTTTTAATTCACTTCACAATGTTTCATTACCATGAATTTTATACATGCTTTGTATTTCGTTCACATGGACATTTTATGAAACCTTTGAGAGTGCATGTTAGAGCATGGAAGGATAATATTATCTTTACTTTTATATCAGAAATTTATCCAATGTGGTCTTGTCTTAACACTTAAAAGATGTATTGTCCTACAATATGCAAAATGCCAAAAAATATAAAAATCTTGCTCATTTTCAAGTAACATAAAAATTATCAACTTGAACGTAGACATTAGTGTATTTTTACAGCGAAAGCCACTGAAAAATTCTTCCAGTCGCTGGAAATGTTTTATAATTTTTATCATTATCCAGTATAAAAATGAGGGTACACCTTTTTTAAATTCAATATTGTTTATGCTCAAGTTAATAATTTGTATGTTACTGCAAATTGAGTGAGAAAACATTATTTTTTATTATTTTGTTGTCATTTTCAGGGAACAATACCCCTTTGAAAGAACTTATATTATTTGAATTTCATTTACTTTTTGACATATCTTCATCCATTTCGTTTTGTATTATTTCACACTGTCCGATGCTTTAGAAAAAATACTATTTCAACAAATATTTGTTTTCTGTTTTTAATTGCATTTCAATTAGTGTATTTTGTATTCTGTTTTGCTGCTATTTATAAATCACTATACTGTATTTATGTTCTGCTATTCATTTCAGATTTTTCTTTTTTGCAATAGTTTATTAATTATTTTTCATTAAAAAAAGAAGTTGTATTCAAAATATTAAGTTTTATGTAACAGATTTGTGTGTTCTGCACATGGGCATGGCAATGTCATATCACACTATACCATTGGCAAAATACAGGTAGTTAACAACAACAACAACAATAATAACAACAACAACAATGGTGTAATTCATTCATCTCATCCAATCAGATTACGAGTTATTTCTCATAGGACACTTAATACAATGAAACACAAATGAAGATTTTAAAAACTACTGCAGGAGATTATTTTCTAAATTGCCAACCGAGTGCTTTCGGCTGGATTGCCAACATAGTTCACTTAATACAATTAGTAACCAGGAGCGAATTCCTACTCGGCAGTCAGTGTAACAGCAACTTCCTCTACGAATTTGTTGCAGTAATGTCAACAACATTTAAAACACAAATTTAGTAAAGAAGTTAAAACTTCTTTACATAGAATTTAGTTTTTAAAAAGTTTTTGTTATTTTTAATGCAATTAATAGAAATTAAAAGGATTAGAAAACAAATTGGAGGAGCAGACGAACATAATAGCAAATAAACAGCAGGAGATTGATGAAATGAAGGCTGACGCAAGTAAAGAAAAACAGGTACAGTATGTTCAATTAAACATTTATTTTCTTCAAAAAGGAAGTTTGTCATTACAAAATATCACAACACACACACACACATACACACAAGTCATATGTTACCCATCTGTCGTTTATCTGTTTGATTTATTCTAGTATCTTTATATCAACAAGTTTAAAAGAAGTAAATATATAAAGCAAGTAAAAATAAATCAAGCCAGTCAACTTAAAGATATTGATATTTCTTCTATATCCACTTCTAAACTAGATCTATCACTATTGAAAATTGCTAATTTTGTAGGTTTTAAAAAATATTGTCAACTTCTTATGTTTTGTTTAAATAGCAAAATTCTGTGCATCAGTATTTCATTGAGCTTACTGTAAGTTATCTCCAGATAAACAAAAGGTTGATCAAATAATTGAATTTGAAATTTTTTCAAAATGTTTAGGTTCATGAAAATCTGAAATCAGAGGCAAACCATTCAAAAACTCAATTTGTAGAAATGCAGAAAGCCAAGATAACAGCAAAAGAAAAGGCAGAAGAAGCAGAAAAGAAAGTAAGGAGACTGTAACCATCAAAGACCCCCCCCCTCCTATTGTTTTTTTTTGTGTGTTTTATTATTATTGTTTTTATTTGTTTTTCTTGTTTTGCATTAATACTGTTACATATATTAGTCTACTTTGTGATTACTTTACCTTGGATAAACCGAAAAATTACCTCCGAGATGTTCACTTTCGTGACTTGAAAAAGAATGAGGAAGTTGCATGTTGGTGGGGCCACTTGACCTTGGTGCCAGGAGTCGACTGTTCTATTATTTTTCGAGGGTTGTTCTCATGTATGAGAAAGAATAGGCAATTTGTCGGTTTATCCAGGTAAGTATCCACTCATAGACTACCAACATCACCATTGATTTGTGTATTCTATTAACTCTAATTCTAAGATGATCCAAAATAGATGAAAATAAGTTTTTATTAGAGAACTACTATTAATACATAATTGTATTTCCCCATCAGTATGAGCGTCTTCGTTCCCGCATCCTCCAAACAACGCTGTCTGCTCCGGGTTTTAAGATGCCAGATGTTGATGAAACAAATGATGATATCCTTGTGGATACGATGAAGAAGCTTATCAACGATCGAACCGAAGTGAAAAATAAAATGAAGGAGATGAAGGAATCAGTAAAAAGTCATGAAAACTACAAGAAAGAAGCTAAAAATAGCATCAAGGCTCTTAAACAACATTTAACCCAATCAGAGGTGAGATAGGAATGATATATCCTGAATTGATCTAAATTTAAAATCTGATTATATAAAATGTCAATGTGAATTTGGGCTGGGGTGTTTGATGTTCATTCTCCCTACAGCAAGGGCAAGAATAATGATACAATTTTTTTTTTTTAACAGAATACTTGATATCATAAAAACTTAATGGTTTTATAGTACAAAGTATCTTTACAAAAATATATTTTGCAGCAATTGTGATACAAAATACAAATTGTGCTATGTACACTAATATTCTCCACCCTATTTTTGTGTGACAAAATATCTGTGGTTGCATGTGTATGGTCAAATAAGAGATATTTGTCACAGATCTTGATAGTTAACTTTAGTTTAATATCTTTTGCTACTTTAGTTTTATTCCCTGTATAGAAAAACTTTGTATTGTGTACTAAACAAAGTCCCCAATCATTATACCATATACATTTGTCTATTGCTACATGGGAGTATAGCCAGATAAGTGTTAAGAGGTAAATGTACAATGCTGAATCTTCATGAATGAAAAGTGAAATTTTCTAAAGCGCATGAGGGAGTTTGTATACTTCAATAATGTAAAAACGCAATGCAGAACATGCAGAACATATATTCATTTCTTTTTCACTGAAATTCTATGATACAGAAACGTTTACAAGATGGTGGTCGAACTTGCAGTCATTTACGAGATGAAGTCAAACTCCTTCAGTCAGTCACGGTCGACGAATCTCTCCAGGGTGTCAGGGATACCATTGCGATGATAATGCAGGATGAGTTGTCATGGCAACAAGAGTATGAATCTGCTCTTGAGAAATGTGGATGGGATGTAAAATCAGCTGACCAGAGTATGTTAAATATTGGATTTAATCATTCTAATTAACCTTAAATAATAATTAGTTATATAAAAGAGGATATGTAATTGTTTTTTTATAATCCTATTAATATTATATTTGGGCAACTGTTGAATCTACCAGTTTTAAAGACGTTACCATAGGTGAAATGTATTATTTTTCAAGGTCAGAGTTGATTTTTAGTTAAAAATAAGTCTTCAGTGTAACTTTGAAACTGCTTGTCTCCCTCTATAGATATGAGTAAGTTTATTTTGGGACTGAAGTCCAAATGTGATTCACTACTCAAAGACAAGGAGCTCATTTCCACAAAACTTAGTACAATTGAGACGAAGGTTCGATCGGAAACGCAAACTGAAATACAGAAGCTGACTACAGAGCACAAACACACTTTAGATGACACTCTAGAGAAGTTGCGTTTGGAAAGTATGCTCATATATTTCTTTTGTTTTCTGTCTTACTCCTCTCTCGCTTCCTTAGTTTAGCTTAAGACCTGTTCTCAGGTTGACCAGGTCACAGAGTAAATTTGACCTTCGCTAAATTCTACTGCTGTTTGCACTTGGATTTTACACAGTATTTTGTACTATACTATACAATTATAGGCATTTATTTGCAAGTTATCATTATTTCTTTTTGAAGACGAAAAGAAGTTGCAAGCAGCTTTAGAAGAAAATAAACAAATAGAAGAAAAGAAACATAAAGAAGTTCAACAATCGAACCAATCAAAGATAAGACAACAAGAGGAAAGCTTGCAGGAACTCAGAAAGGTAAGATCGCCCTCTATCTGGCTATAAGTCTACCAATCCCATTTCCTATTGTGAAGAAATTCAGTGAAGTGTTATGGAAACTTAAATTTTGAATGTCTTTTTCTTTTATTTGCAGACTCTTGTTGAGAAAAGTTCCAATGAAGAGAGACTTTCACAAGTTGAAAAAGAGCTGAGAAATGAGATTAAAAATTATATTGAAAGTGAGGTAAGAAATATTTTGATCGATTCTGGGTATAAAAAAATGTCTACATCTTTTTCTCTACTCTTCCCACCTTATCTTGGCTTCATTTTTTCCTGTATCTCATTCAAAATTTTGAAACCATGTTACACATATATTTGACAGTAATTATTGTTTGAACTCAGGGAAAGTTAAAAGAGGACCTGATTGCTAAAGATCAAGCAATGAAGGGTGAGGCAGCTAAACTGGTGGACCAGATCACAGAGTTAAAGGAATCACACACAAAGGAGGCAAAAGCATTCAAAGAGCAGATTCATCAACACTCACTCACAATTGTCTCACATGAAGAGAAAGTTACTAAGTTCAGCAAGGAAATTAAAGACTTGAAGAATGAACTACATAGCCATAAAGAACAATTGGAAGGTAAAGCCCTTTAAATCCATTTATATCCAACTTTCAGTATTTTATAAAAATAAGTAATATAGTTGTTTTGTAAATACTTGCCCTGAAAAACCAAGGTAGGTTATGTCAGAACACCCCTAAAAATAGAATCGTCTATCCTGTCTTTTGGAAAGTACAAAGGAATTAGAAATTAAAAAAAAAATACAAGATCATAACATCCATGCAGGTAATATGAATACTCTACTACGATTATGTTATTAAAATAAAAGAGTAGTAGGAGTTGTGTTTGTTGTGGAATGAGCCCATTCTGGCAAATGTATGTCTGTTATGCTTTAGCCCTAATACAAGCAGACTGCAGCCCCCCAGTCTAAAGTTAGACTAGACTAAGTTGACAGCCAATAGCAATTCAGTTATCACATGTCTCATCATGTTGATGACCCTTACAGGTCCTTCCTTGGCATGGAATTGTCACAACAGAGGTTGTTTTTATCATTTTGATGCTGAACAAAGCCTTTACTCCTTTATGAGGCAAAACATTCATAAATCTGGACATTTTTTTGTACTACAGAAAAGTCTAAACAGGCCAGAGATGCCGTCGCTAAGCTGAGAGAAAAACAAGCAAAGGAGGCACTTTTATCTGGAGCTAAGCCAAAGATTCCACCTAAACCAGTACTCATCAATGGAGCAGTGCCCGATGTAATGGCCTTGGAACGTCTTGTTAATGTTCTGAAGTAAGTAAAATTTATTTTTTGTTCATACTAATATTTTATCTATTATAAATAAATGTATGTTTATAAATTTTTGCAGGGGGTGTTCATCCAACAGAAAAACCTACAAAAGTCTAATTATTATTCTAGTAATCATCATTGTCATCAGGATTATACTTTATATTTACAATTTGTTCCTGTATACTTTTTAGGAAAGATAACATTGAGATGAAGAAAGAGATTCAGAATCGTCAAGACATAATCATTGGTTTGAGGAGAGATCTTGCTGGGGCATCTGCCAGATTGTCTGATCTGACAGGTATTGTAGACGGGGCATAGGGGGAGGAAAAGAGGAGAGAGCTGGCCCCTTCGCCGGGTAGAAAAACCACTATTAGTCGGGGAGAAAAAAAATTAAATGTATTTTCTACATAATATTAGACTATAAAATCGATTAAATAAGCCTTTGAAATCCCTAAATTGTCATATGTCTCCAGGCTCTCGCAGAGGATTTGATGAATACAATGACGTTGATGGTGAATTTATTATGAAAAAATCTATTAATCTTTAGGTGAACTGAGTGAAAAACAGAAACTTGAGATTGAGAACAGCCGAGTTACGATACGGCAACAGGATGCAGAACTCTCAACACAACGACAACAACTTATGAAGTTGTCAGAACTTGTAGACCAGCAGTCTGCCAAGATTACCTCAATGCAACAGGAACTTGAGTATGTTCACCATCTTTCCCTCTAATTTATTTTGATTAATCATTTCAAATTTAAGATATTGCTCTCCAGATTGAGGGATCATGAGTTTGAGTCAGCACTGGTTACATTTCTTCTGTTTGTTGTCAGATCTTGCTTCAGTAAAATGTATGAATGGGTACTTGGTAGGATGTGAAAGTTTTGAAATACATTGACAGCATTGCTTGAAGTAGTTCACAGGGAGTGGGGGAAGTTATACAGTGTGTAACATTGACTCTGTATCCAGTGACTAGGACAGAAAGTATCCAATTGCCTGAAGGTGCTATATAAATAACTATATAAAATCTAGGTCTCAGTCACTTCATAGAGTGTATACCTCTGCCCTGATTTATTGTATTATTTTGTATCTCAGCACTCAAAGTGAAGAGCTATCTGGGCACAAAAGCAAACTGACGAGCTCAGCAGATGAAGTCCTCCAGTTACGCAATCAACTTGTAGCTGAACAGGAAAACAAAGCGAAGGCATTGCAACAGGTTCAGCAAGAGGTAGTCAAAAAACATTTCAGATATATTTTTGGGAGGGAGATGAAATGTATATTGTGTATATTTTTTATTATTTGTATATTTTTTATATATTTACTTGTATTTATTTAATAGCATAATTTTGAAAAATAAATATATTTACCTCTTAATTTACTAGTAATGTGTTTTTTCCCCCTTGCTTGACATTTAAGGGTTTGATCACAAGTGAGTTGTCATCTGTCGGTGCTCAATGTCGTGGAGAGAGGCATGACCAAGTAATCTCCAGACAACGAGAGGCTCTTGCAGAACTCAGGTCAAGGATCAAAGGTCTGGAGGTCAACAGGCCACCACGTAAGTGTTACAGTAGCTACTAAAGTTATTGTTAAGTGATTACATCAAATTGATTATGTTAAATCTAATATTCTACACTGGATATATTTTAGAATCTCATGAGGATTGAAATAAGAAATTACCTGAAAACTGAATTTCAATTGTTGTATCATTATTTATTTAGTTATCAATGTTGAATTTGAATTTTCCATTAAAATATTTTATGTAGCTATTGTTTTTAATATTGGTCATAAATAAATATAATGATAGTAATAAGAATTGGATTTCTTTGTATTTTTAGAAACAATTTCTAATATTGTTGGCACAGATTCGCTGATTGTTGGTAAACAAATCACTCAGTTATCACTCACACTGGCCATTATTTTTCATTTGAATTGTATATATTTATTTCATGGCTTGTATAATCCTTATGGATTCTATGTTTATTACATGGATTTTATATTTAATATGGATTCTATATTTATTCCATATAGATTCTATATTTATTACAAATGGATTAGACATACCATATGGATTATATATTTATATGCATTCCATATGGATGATATTTTTATGTCATGTGGATATAAATCATACCACATACCAAACTGATTAGTTATTATTCCATTGATTTCATGTTTATATATTTCAAAATCTAACCCCTGAACCATAGTGTTTCATGAATCAGTCCATATTAAAAACTTGGTTAGTTTGGTCAATAGTGATAAGTATGCTTGGTCGTAGCAGCAGGAAGGTATTTTAAGCCAGTAGGATATTTGTGTGGGATATAGAATCACTTGAGTGGGAAGCATAAAATGGTTAGAGGGATAGAAATATAGGTTTTGATGCATAGCAACTTGAGCACCTCTTTCTAGATATGAGCTTAGGTTGTGGTTCGCGATTCATGATAAATACTGCCATTACGCTTCATTGCCATTTTCCCTTTATATTCATTCCTTCTCTCATTTTCTCATCTTTCATCTTTTTTTCATAGATTTCAATCCCCTCATCCTATCAGATGGTATATTATTTTAATTTACATTACTTATTTCAATGTTGCTCATTTGCATATTGTACATTTGCATATTGCTTATGTAGATTGTTTTTTGCATACTTCTTATTATAGCTCATTTGCATATTCTGTAAGTAGATGTAACGCTTATTGGTTTGCTTATTTTCATTTTGTTTTGTTGAAAATTTGTATTATACACATTTTGATATAGTTTAGTATGATAGCAGACCTGTCACTTAGTGTTTAAGGTGATCACCTCAAAACTCCAGAGTCCTTTGTTCAAATCCTGCAAACATTGATTCATTACAAACCCCAGTACCAGTTCCTATTCTTACTAACTGTTGATTAATACTGTTGAACTAGTTTGAGGGTAGCATGATAGGCTTATAACAATCTTAAAATCCTACCCACAACACATGCTTTATAGGCAGGGTTTTAACATTTGTATCACTATGACTGTCAGACATTTGTGTCTTTGTTCGCAATGTTACATGGTATCACCGAAGAGATACCAACAAGTATAAAAAAAATAGGAGAGTACAGCCTGCTTGTTTGGTGTATAAATTAACGTTGATTTTACACATTCATGTTATGGGAGTCATCCATTTTTCATCATTTTAATGCGAGTACAAGAAATCACCATGCTTTCCACCCCACTCATAAAAGAGTAAATAAAATGATTGTTTTCATTTTGAAAACCTATTGTTGCTTTATCTTGTTACTAAAAGCATAAACACTTTATTAACCCTGCCTGCTACATTATGTTTTGTACTCATAAAAAAAAAAAAGGAAAATGGATGACAACCATGAAAATGAAAGATGAAATATATGTTTTAAAATATGTGACCGGCTATGGCAAAACCCCCCACTTGTCGCAAATTCCAATTTCACACCAGCAACCAAAACGTTTGGGAATGAGAATTTTGAACAATTTTAGGTTTTTACATTTTATAAAAGATGATATTGAAGAATATTTCTGCAAAATATTAATCACTAAATCTAACTGAAAAGAAAAGTATATTGAATTATTTTAAAAATAAAAATCCTAATAATAAACTATCAATTTTTGGATGCTGTTTTCTCAAAACCTACATGTCTGGTATCCAATAATTTAAATTTTCGTAACTTGGGTGATTCTCCACCAATTTCCATCAAATAAAGACTGTTAACGTAGAATTCATGCAAAATATAAAAATACCAAAAACTCTGGCAAAACAGCAGGTTTTGCCAGATCTGGTCACATGTGTTTCCAATTCGATAAATAAATGAACGAATAGATAAGTGAATGAATGAATAAATGATGAACACAAATTAGGTTTGTTTTGCTAATATTTCTAATGATTATTAATTTCTTAATTTTTTTTAGTTCCAACTCATGACCAGGCCCTCCAACAGGTAATCCTTCTGAAGAGGGAGCTCGCTGAATTGAGAGCAAAGCAAGCTCAGGTCTTTGATACTAAAAACGTTACGGCAGAATCTATACTTGATCGTGAAGTGGCCCGTGTTAGGGGTTCACTAAACACCATGTCTGGTTCATCGACAGCAATTGAGAGAAGCGTCCGGGTTGAGGTTCAACAGGCCATGGAGCATAGTGAAAGGACGGTACGTGAAGGAACAATTTAATTTGTTGGCCTTTATGTGATTTAATCAACCAGTATATATGGTTGGTTAATATGTTCACATGTTGCTTTAATACACTTACGGTTTGGTGGTTAATATTATAAGCAAAGCTTTTCTGCACCCTCATCTGTTTTGGTCCAAGAGTTATCTAATCTATTTTTAAGTTGGTTGTAGAATCAAAATTAATAACCTCTTGGGGCAGACTGTTCCAGCTGTTCACAACTCTCTGTGAGAAAAAGTGTTTACGACAATTTAGCCCTTTCTTGACCTCTGGTATTTTTCTTCTTCGTACTCATTTGGAAAAAGGTGTCCAGTTTGACATTCTCAATTTCTTTAATGATTTTGAAGGTCTTGATTAGGTCACCTCTAGTTTCACGCTGCTCGAGACTATACAGGTTTAGTTCTTCAAGTCTTTCTTCATACGAATGGTACTTGATCTTATGAATCGTCTTGGTGGCCTTCCTTTGGACACTTACCAGAATTTCTTTTTATTTTCAAGATAAGGACACCAGTCTTGTCCCGAAGCCGTTTTAGCCATCAATTTTTTTACCGGTAAAATTAACAGGCCAACCAGTAAAAATTAAAATTTAAAAAAAACTAATGATTAGCCCTCTTTCAATAAATTAACATCATTCCAGTCTATGCTATGAATATATGTGTTGTTGTTTCTTCAAGTCATTAAACCCCACTCAAAAGTTGTAATGCCTCACACTGCATGCATTGATGACTTTTTATGGATAAATTTACCAGTAAAAATTTTTCAATTGGGAGAACACTGGACACCATGCTTGAACGCAGTAGGCCTACTCCGTGTATTGTCTGACAGCTTGTAAACATTTGTAAAACACTCTTTATCAAAGTGGTTGAAGGTTCTTCGTAGAATACATAGTTTGGATTTGACTCTATTTGCAGCAGTCACACATTGTAATCGCAAGTAAAAAACATTCTTCCAACAAAATAAGCCACACAGAATGTGCAAAGTGATGATGTGAACAGTAAACTGAAATTACAGTGAACTTAACAATAAACAAGAAACAAGAACTGATAAAAAATAATGCTGTTCTCTCATTGACTTACTAGACTGCTATTGAGCAGAACAAAAGAAATCTAAGCCAATTGTGATACTCATCACCTGAGCTAAATAATATGCAAATTACCTTCCTCAAGCAAGAAATGTATGATACGTGTGTAGTAAACAGCACTGAGGACATGTGTAGATACATTGTGTTTAACCCTGAATTGAAATATGAATTTTATTTTTGGTCTTTTCTTTTGCTTTGTTGGAAAATGCAAACTTTTTGCATAATGGACTATATAGAATAATGTTATCAAGATTTTATAGATCTTTTTTTTTGTTTCACAGTATTTAGACCTTGCACAATCCTGTGCATCTGTACTAGGCCTCGGTGAAATCAGCGGTCAAGAAAGCATGGCGCATCTACCACAGGATGAGCGTGAACGACTTGTAAAAGATCGAGAACGTGCCAATGAAATCATCGCCAGTAGAATCAAAGTACTGAACCAACGTCTTGATAGGAAAGATGAGATCCTACGGGATTATGAGAAGGATCTGGAAAGGTTACGAGAAGCAGAGAAAATTGCCGGAGAAAAATCCAATCAAGTAGAATCCTTAGCTGTAAGTGAACACTTAATTTATTTTTTCCTATTTCAAATTGCTACTAAAGCCACCGATGGTGAATTCCTGCAGCACCATTACAAAAAAGAAAAAAAAAAACTGTATGTATAAACATAAATTATTATAAACGTAATCAAAAGAAAAGTGCACAGACTCTATGGAACAAGGACATTGTGACAAATTTACTTCTTAAGAACAATTTTGGTATCAGATGCGAGGTAAAAAGTATTAAAACCATAAGAGTTATTGAGAGATAGTGAGAATAGGGAAAGATAGGACTGTCCAGTTGTTACATGCAAGTTTTATTTGTTTTTATGAATTTTAATAATTCTGTTTATTTAATTATAAGAATGATGTTAGAGGTCGCTCAGAAGAGACCCTGTATTTGCGGGAAACACTGCGAAGAACACGACATCAGCTTGATCAAGAGAAGCGTCTCAATGGAGCAATCAAATCCAAAAAGGTAGCAAAGCTCTGTCTACTCTATCAGATTTTTGTTGACAAGAAACTCTTGTGTGCCCATATATAGTCATGATGTGCCCATATATAGTCATGAGGTGACCATATATACTCATGATGTGACCATAGATGGTCATGATGTGATGTCATCATGACCATATATAGGCATGTGACACGTTTTTGTCAAATAAAATGTGATCGTCTGGAAAGGGCTATAGAAATGGCATCTTGCTATTATTATTCTTATTGTTGTTTCCATCATTACTATTGTTCTCAAAGAATTTTATCTGAAACCGTTGTTAAGGTAAGCAACTAATTGGTTAAAAAAAAAAAAGATAATTTGTCTACTTTTATTATTGTTATTATTATTGTTTTTATTGTAATAGTAATATTTTTGTCATTGTAAACTACAATAGTATATTATTATTATTGACATTGTTATAAAATTCATAGAATATTGTTATTCTTTTTACCATGATTATTTTATTTAATGCCACACTTCATTATTATATTTATTTTTTACTTCAGACATTCCATCTGGAAAATGATGAAAAATCACCTCAGATGTGGCCCAAGCATAAATGCTTTGAAGAAGTGAAACCAAAGGTAGGCATCCTTCTCCTTTTCCTTTCCAAATCTTCTCTGCTCTCTCTTTCACACCCTCCTCCACTTTGGAAGTCTTGTCTGTAATACAAATGCACAATATAAGTATTTCCATTGATTTTTTAATCCTGTCTGATTTGATTTTGTATTTCAATTTTCAGAAAGAAGCCAAATCCAAAGTTGCCAAGAATAAACTTATTCGTAAAAACTATGAAATTGAAGCACTAAAAGCTGTAAGTAGAAGGACAACTATTGACTGTTCACTTTAACAGTTGCATTATCATCATCTTATCTTAACTTTGATGTCATTATCTTCATCAATATCATAATCCCTGTCTTTATCATCACCACCATCATCCTCATCATTATCAATGTCAACTTTATCATCATCATAATCATCAACATTTTCAACAGTGTCATCATCATTACTGATGATATCCCAATAATTTTTGTTGCTGTACCATTCCTAACAATATAATTATCGCATCCTTTGGTATCAGGTTTAATATTCATCATTATATGGCTTTTGCTATATTTATCACAGTTAATGTTTGATGGTCCGTATAATCATCATTATCAATTTTTCATAATCAATATGATGAAGCAGAACACTATCTTATTAACTCACATACATATCAATCATGACTTGTAATTCATTTATTTTATTTATTATTCTTTTTCTATCATTCTCTATTATTTTACTAAGAAACCAAAGCAGAAAGTGAGGTTCAGTCAGGTTGGACTCTTTAGTTGTATTTCATGCTTTTAGCAACCACTTAAAATATGTAATAGTTGCATAGCATGATTTTAAATTTTTATTTAGCATACTTCTATTGTATTGTCTCGTTTAGTTGCTAAATTTGTTCATTTCTTCAGGACAAATGCTAAGAAGTTTCTGTATTAAAATATAGATAATTATATTCATGTGAATATGGTCTGCCAATTTTTATGTGTATTTGTGGAGCTGTCTGCATGTTTTTGTGAGACAGGACAAATTTTGTTTGTTTTATAATAATCAATTATATAGATATCTACAGATAATTGCTAAATTCTCTAGAATTTAAATTTCACTGATAATGCATTCGTATGTGTTTGTTTGCTAGGTGGAGTGCTGTCTCTTAATTTTTAGAATATTCTTTGCAAAAGAATGGTTTAATCAACTTGATTATTAACAATTATTTTTCTATTTTTTGGATAGTTATATTTTTAACTGTTAGCTGTTTTGAAATCATTATTTTGTGGAAGATGTAGTGCAACGCTTTAGGCTTTAAAATGAAAGATTGAGAGAAGAGTAAGGCTAGCCAATTTCTTTTTTAATGAACTTAGATGTGCATTTGTCTTGTTTGTCTGTTGCTCAGCAACTAGCTGTCACTTTTGTTATTCTGAGTCAATATTGGAGGATTTAGCTTGAGCTCCAATTAGCATGCTGTCAAGTGTTTAAAGTCTCGACACTGAGGAGAAAAAAATAATATTGGAATAAAAATATAGAGATTTTCTTTTATATGTTGTTGTTTTTTGTGTATAAGATGCTCTATAAAATAGTTGCCATTATAAGGCTTAGAGAGTGAGGTTTTCCCCACCAGGTACCTATTTGTACACCCCCGGGGTGGAAAGAAGCAGTGCTGCCTTGGTAAAGGACACAAGCAAAATGCACAGGGCAGCTTAGGTCAGTCGGCTAATCTGGTGGTAGTAACTGTGAGTGCTGAACGGTTCAATTCCCATCACTGCTCTCCTTGTGTTTTCAGCTGGAGGGCTGAAATACAAGTTACAATAGCGCACCGTCTTTCGGATGAGACGTTTAAGCCATTGGTCCCGTGTGCATAATTGCCCATGTGCACGTTAAAGAACGCAGTAAACTTTTCGGAAGAGAGTGTGGGGATTGGTCCCCAGTGTACTGCCCAGTCAACACCAGAAAGACCCCACTGAAAGTGAGTTCTCTCCTAGGCCTTCGTGAGTTATCCTTGGTGTTTACACCGAATAAATCCATTCATCCATCCACCCATCCACCACAGCAAGGAGCAAGGGATTTAAACCCCAACCTCACCATTACGGCTGCCCTAAACTGCTTCTGCTATGTCGTTTTTTAATGTGCTTGTGAGGGGGAAGTTGTGATTGTGTTGTCATTGACCATCAGTCAGCTTTTAAGAATTCATTCATATTTCACTCATTGTCAACAGGAGCTAAATTCACGAGAGGACCAGCTGTGTGATACGACAACTCGTCTCATCAACTTAGAAAATGCAATTGTGAGTAAACAGTAAACCATTTCATTAGCTTTCATAGAATTCACCTGACAACACAAGCAGCAGTATTTGCAATGTTTTTGTACATATTATTGTAATGAGACTGAATTTTTTTTTTTCAGGGTCTTGCAAATTAGGTGAAAATTATCTTCAGCAGTCAACACAAAGGAAGAAGAGCCGAAACAAAAGCTCAAGAGATAGCGTAGATTTCTGTTGTATGAGTTGAGAGAAGCTGTTGATGGGAAAAGGATCAGGGGTAATGTAGATACATAGGCGTAGGAGACAAGGGAAGTCCTCATAAGAAGGATCAAGTATTATAGCACTGATAGCCTGTCAATGATCTGGCAGTACCAAGAAGATCTAAAGCTGGACAATATATTTTTTGTTTTTAATATTTCTTTATAAAGTTTGTGGATGGAAGGTGTTCTATGGGATATCTCATACATGATCTCGTACATGGGTTACTGTACAGAAAGTAAGTGCACTATTCAGCATGGTAACAAATATGTTACTAATCTGTGATGATTCTTATTTGAAGACTTTCTTTAATTCTACTGATACTGAGGCGTGAATAAGTAGATTTGTGATAATTGTAGAGAGTGCCCCTTTTATTTTACTGATACTAAAATGTTAATGAGTAAATTTCTGATGATTGTTAGAGAGTTTGACCCTTTATTTTACTGATACAAAAGTGTTAAGGAGTGTTAAGTTATGATGACTGTTAGAGTCCGCTTTAATTTTACTGATACAAAGGTGTTAATGAGTAAATTTGTGATGATTGTTAGAGAGTGCGGCCCTTTAATTTTAATGATACTGATGTGTTAATTAGTAGATTTGTGATGATTGTTCCAAAATTACTGTGCATATTCATTCCCTACAGTTAAACTAATACCATGTTATATTGCATTTGTGTGTAAGAATAGCACGTCCTGTGTAGAATTCATATAACAAAAACAAGACATATGATAGTGGCCTGATAATAGTTTGAATGGATCTTAGATCATGGTAATGTGGTACAGCTTTCAGTGTCTTTTACTATTGGCCTATCACGAATCTTCACTGTGTATCGATTTTACTGACCCTTAATCCGGGCATATGCTGTGTTGTCGGCTGACGAATCCATTACTGCTCTCTGTAAGCACTTGACGACGCATTGATGTCCGCCTAATAGTCACTGGTGGATTAAACATTGTTATTAAAAACGATTCGTTGTGCACACCTCGTTTTGTAGTATTCTCCATGGAATCACGTCTCACAACTGCCTCAGGCTTTAATGACACTGTTGGCATTTCTTCATGTTGAAGCATGTGCTTCAAGAGACTATATAAAGTATGTTCACATCGTGACGGATGCAACATAGAAAAAAATTATGTAAAGAAAATTAATTCAATCAATTTGTCACTATTTTAATAACGAATTAATACTGGAACCATGGGCAAATCCAGAAAATTTTATAAACTTTAAATGTATAATAGTGTTCATGAATTTCTTTAAAAATCATGAATTAAGAGCAAATAGATTATTCTGATTACTTAATTAACAGATGAGAATTTACAGAATTATAAGACTAATTTTTTTTTATTTTTTCAATTTTAATGTACTGTAACATATTCGCTTTTATTTTTTCAATTTTAATGTACTGTAACATATTCGCAATTTAGTTTTAACTGTAATGAGGTGTTGAAATAAATAAATCTTGACACTGTAAATACAGAGAATTGCTGTCTCTTATACACATCTAGATGTGTATAAGAGACAGCTATTCTATAGTGCAGTATATCAGTTTTACCATTCCAAGAGTTGCATCCTATTGATAATGTGCTAAATGTTTTTAATGAACTTTTGTGTAGTCATTAGTGAATGTTGAATATAAGTCGTATAGTCGAAGAGGAACAAATAAACATTTGTTTAGTAATGTTAGTGTCATTTTTGTCAACTGTTTATCTACGATATTCGAATCATTGACACAAATCGAACAGTTGAAAATAGGGGAACTGAAGTGGTTTCTGCATTCATGGAATATTTTGCTTTAAAAAGTCCTGTTATTTCACCAGCAAAATTAAGTAGGCCTAGCTGGATGATCGAAACATGCACTCTAGTGTCTTGTGGAAAAGGGTTTCATTTTTCGTTTTTTTTTTGTGTTTTTTTTTTGTTTAAATTGACAGGTAAATGAAAATTATGCTGTGTATTTTATCACCCCATGCAGGATTGACGTGGCAATAAGTAACCGGATAAGAGGTTGACGTGCGTTAAAGAAAAGTTAATTGGCGGCTTAATCTTAATTACTGGTCGACGACGTTTCACAATTTAATACAGTATCGCGTTTGCATTAAGTGTCTTATTGTTCTTTAGTGACAGCAATCATAACTCCGATATAAATTTGATGGAAGCGATTTTTTATGTAGGCCTTAATTTGTTTATTCACTTATTTGATTTTCCAAATGAAAAATTTAATTTAGGCCAATTTGTACTGCTACAAATTGCTTGGTTGATCAATATCTTCCACTAACACATTAACGCGCATGTGCATTATCTTCGCTATATCTTTATATAAAGATATAGTAAAGCATTTGTATCATCATTTTGTGGTTTAGGTAAGTATACTTGTCCATTTTTGGTTTTATATTTGTATTCTAATCAATATATGGCAATGGATAATACAGGAAGACATATTCAGCGTCATGAGGATGACTTTAATGTTTCCATGGGTTTAAATACAACAATGCGAATCAAACATGGTAAATTTATCTCAACATATTATGACAGTGACATCAGCTCCCTGAATTTAGTCTTGCGGGTTTTAATATCTATTATAATCATTGCTGGCAATTCTCTGGTTATATTTGTTTCTATAAAGAACAAGATGTATCTGCAAATGAACAGGCGAATACTTCTAAGTTTAAGTTTTGTTGATTTGGCAACTGGTGTTTTTGGAATTTGTTGGGTCGCTCTGGATAAAGCATCAGGAAGTATAGCTATCAGTCTTACTACTGTAATTTTTGAAAGTATGTGGTGTTGTGTGTACGTGTCCGAATGGCATCTTTTGGTTTTGGCGGGCGAGAGGTACTTAGCCGTGGTATATCCTTTTCGTTATTTACAATTGGCGTCTACCAAACGTGTTAACCTCGCTATTGCACTCGCCTGGATGAGTGGTACAATAATCGGCTTATACATATCGTTCCTTGTTTTTATGATGAATGATAAAATATATGCATTTCTCAGTTCCTTAATTTTCCAATTGTTAGCATTCATCTGTTTGTGCTTTTGCCACATGAAAGTATACATCGAAGCAAAACACCAAGTTTCTAAAATTTCTTCTATTGAAAATCAGTTGGTTCGTCAGGAAACAGCAAACAATAGAACAGCTGAGAACCGTGCGACAAAGACAACGATGCTAGTATTTGGTGCCTACTTGATTTGCTATTTTCCGTATATTATTTACATCATACTATCATGTATTAACTATAACAGAAAGTTGGATTTCAATCCAACATTGCTTGGTTATCTTGTCACTCTTATCTATGCTAACTCAGGAATGAATCCAGTCATATATTCCTGCAGAAACAAAGTCTTTATGAGAAATGCTATTGATTCACTACTACGCAATCGAAGAAGAGAAACAAGGAATACGTAATATAATTAAGCACAAGTTCTCCAAACTTATGATATGCTATGTTGAAAACTATCCCATGACATTATTACACATATAACATGTATGAAGTATAACGTTTCAAAATTATCTTAAACTATGACAGAATAGAAAACCCCGAACACTACGGTACCAAAATATCAATATATTATTATAATGGCGTGTGATCTCTCTTAATAATTCAAGAATAATGAACGGCAGAATTGACTTTGAAATGAATAAGTGGTCGACGCTCAACCGATTCAAATGTTCACAAGAGGCACATAATAACAAAACATGCCCTAATCTTGACTCCAGCGTACACAATTCAATGCATCTCAGAAAGTAAATATATTTCATTTATGGAAGTTTAGGCACATGGAAATAGACCATTGTATTAATTACTCGTACACAATTTTTGAATTATTCGCATCAATCACATTTTTCTGAAATAGCTTCCTGATATTAATTAAACGCCTGCTTAATACAATGTTTATCTACTAGCTGTGATTGGTTGCGTCTGTCTGCAATATTCTGCTTATATTTTATTTTCTTTAATTACATTGTACGTAATAGCACATATGCCTTTCTAGGTTCCATAGTTTGCCAAATTTTGGCATTCATAGGTTTGTCGTTTTCTCACATAAAAGTATACATCGAAGCAAAACACCAAGTTTCTAAGATTTCCTCTATCGAAAATCAATTGGTTCGTCAAGAAAAAACGAACAACAGAAAAGCTGAGAACCGTGCAACAAAGACAACGATGCTAGTATTTGGTGCCTACTTGATTTGCTATTTCCCGTATATTATTTACACCATACGATACTTAATACTATCTTTTACCAACTGTAACGAAAGATTCCATTTCAATTCAACGTTGGTTAGTTATCTTGGGCATTCTTATCTATGCTAACTCAGCAATGAATGCAGTAATATATTCATGGAGGAAGTGTTTATGAAAAATGCTATTGATTCACTACTACGCAATCAAGAAAGAGAGACAAGGAATACATAATATATATCCACAATTTTATCCTACGATATTTTTTCGGTATTATTAGTATTATATTTGGTGCCATTATAGTATTTACTTTTTTCCCTATTGGCAATCATTATAATTACTCCGACTGAAAAGCAGTGCGTCCAATTATAACAACTTTTAAGTAATCAGATGCCACATACAAATTGGATGGATTTAACATGCTGCTACATGAATGTTGTTAGGAAAGCTTTGAAAGTGTAGCAGTTTCAAGACATACTTACATTTATTTATTCAATCAACGATAATTGACAATATACAATTTACAGTGGGCTTATTCGACTAGTTCTGGTTGACTACGATTTTTCGTTGAGTATTATTTTCATTCGACTGGTTCGTAGAATAGACTTCGTTGACAATGAAAATTAACGTAAACCATCCAGAGTGCATTAATCCACGTGACTAAAAAAAACATGGCCAATTGGTCTGTTTAGCAACAACATTTTGCGTAAATATAATTTAGATTAAATTTCAGAACATAAAAATTTTAATATTTACACACATGAAGTCAAAAAAATAATTGTAGGCTATCTGAATTTAAAAACGGGATACCATTTTTTTTAACGAAAAACCCACACTGCCACAAGCCAAAGCAACTGGTCGTCTTCGTTCAGTAGGATTTTACCACTGTGCAGCTGGGCGTGGTTTAACGCCGAACGACCAGTCGAATATTTCCAATAATTACTGTAAAAGAATGGGTGCGTATGAAACCGATATGGCTTGTCTTAAAAAAACACGCAGAATAAATGAATACAGAACTAAGTGTTTATGAGAATTTTCATAGTGGCTAATTGGATTCTATTTTCTCATATACATTCACTATTTAATTTCCTAGCTTTAATATCATTCAATAAAGTATATATTCAGTATCATTTTCTTTATACTAGTTTTCAAGGTTGAGGGAGGGGGGAGAGACTCATTTGATTTGGTTTTAAACTAATTTTAAGATAGTTACAATAAGATGGGCTAAATAAGATATTTTACTTGATTTAATCTAATAGGAGAGACGTACATCTTACTTGAATTTCGTAATGTTTTTGCAAGATCAGTTCTTTTGTTTTCATTTGCATAAACCAGTTTCAATTGTTGGTGAAAGTTGCTAAAGATGATACTTGAGCATAAAGCACATTTTGCACTTTAATAATGTCATACATATTTAAAATAATTAAGGTTTTAAACAATGGTTTAGAAGATTTTCAGCTTATGCAGTTTTTAAGATTGATATACTCATTTCCCCAGACTAAATCTTCATATTGGTCTGATAAACAAAGTATATTGTACAAATTGACTTCCTTTTTTTCTTTTATTTGACATCATCAATACATACAATATGAAATACAGGTATATGCTTAGAAAAGACTTGTATAATTAAGAAGCTCTATGAAGTTCTTAAGATTGCTAGGATTCTTATTTCCACAGGCTACATTTCCATACTGAAGGTATGGTAACCTAAATATATTGTACATATTGACAAGTGTATGCTTAGGAATGATTTGTCTAACTTTAAGAAACTCTATGAAATTTCTTAAGATTGCTATGATATTCATTTCCCCAGACTACATTTCCATAATGTTAAAGGTGTGATAACAAACATATAGGCCTATGTACATAGGCTATTGACAAGTATATGTTTAGGAAAGATGTGTCTATAACCTTGTCGATGATACCAATAGAATTTGAAATGTGACTATTCCAGCATAAATTCTCAATTACATAGATTCTAAGGAATATAATTCGTTTTTGTGAGTCGAATGGCCAAGCAGTTAAGGGGCGCCGCAACCTGCAGCTTAGCCATATCATCGCTGGTTCGAACGGCACGCTCGCCTATGGTTCTTGTGGTAAAACAAGTCTTCTTATAGTGTACACAGCACAGTGGCTCGCGTACACTATAAAGAACGCATACATCATTCGAGACGAGTAGGGGATACCCCGATTTACTGGACGACGAGAGTTGTTGGTACCGGGTTACCCGGTAGCACAGACACGAAGAAGCCTTTAGGAGCGAAGAAAGCAATTGATCGAGTTCCTAGTCCACATTATATAGCGTCATGAGCATCTTTGATGGATACCGGCGCTATACAAATCCACACTGTTATTATTTTCCCTGCTGTAGAATTAGGTTGTTGATTTTTACTTCGGTTTTCAAAATTGGTATCTCTCGGAATATAATGAAGTCTTATTCACTCAGTTGTCGTATATTATTAATGAAAGGAACCTTCGTCAGTTCAAACCGATTAACTTAAATGGAACGATGGTAGTAACCATTAAATTACAAATAATATTTAGTAATGTTAATAAAGTGTAAAGTGTAATGAAAGCTTAAATTTTACCAAACTGTTGCCAAAGTTCTACATTTTTGCAATGTAATTACAGTATTTTACAGTTGGTTGTTCAATCAACTTTCTCTGTTGTCTTTAGTTTTAATATTAATGTATGTTTTTGTAAATCTGCTATTTTGGAAGTTTATAGTTTAAAAAAATAGGCATATAGATTAAAAAATGCTTGCATGATTAACTAATTTGAAGATATTTATCCTATTTTTGAGATCTTGGAGATTCTAGTTCGTCAGCTTTCAATCATCTCTGTATTGCTGTAAGATAGTCTTTTACATTATCAGTGTATTATCCTAATCATAGTTAAGTATGGTGCACGTTCTCTAAATTTATGACATGCAATGTTGAAACCTTTGCATAAAGTTATTACACATACTGTATAACATGTATGAAGTGTAACGCTTCAAAATTTTATTGAACTATGACCGAATAGATGCGTATCCTACTATAAAATATCATTATAATGGCGTGATCTCTCTTAATAATTCAAGGATCATGAAAGTCAGAATTTACTGTGAAAAAAATACCCGGACGCTCAGCAGATTAAACTGTTGACAGCATGCAGGCACATTATTAATATATTCAAAGCATCTCAGAAAGTAATTTTATTTCATATTAAACTTCATCGTATCAAATTACTCGTACATCATTTCAAATTAATATTCATCGGCAGCAATCACATCTTTTTAATAGCTTCCTGATATTAACCCAACGGTTACTTAATACAACTTAAATTACTACTGTGATTGGTTGCCCAGTATCTTCCAATCCCATTATTTAACGTGCGTGTGCATTTTGATCTCTACAAATAACTATGGCAAATGACAGAATAATTCGATTTCTTAATTTATTTAGATGTACCAATTCATTTGTCTATTCATAGTTGTGGCTAAATCTAGTACTGTATCTCTTGTTCCTCTACTGTATTCTAACCGCGTCTTAATATTAAATTTTAATACATCAAGGCAAATCCAAGGAAGTGACGTTCCTATTACATTTTCTATGGATTTAAATAAGACAATGCAAGTCCAACACACCGACTTTCGCAGTACCCTAGATGCGCTTACTGGTAGCGACATCACCATCCTGCCTCTAGTATTGAGAACTTTAGTATCTGTTATAATCATTGCTGGCAATTCTCTGGTTGTATTTGTTTCTATAAAGAACAAGATGTATCTGCAAATGAACTGGCGAATACTACTAAGTTTAAGTATCATTGATTTGGCAACTGGAGTTACTGGACTTGCTTGGATCGTTCTAAGTAAAGTGCCACAGGGTATAACTACAATCGTTCTCACTATTGCATTTCATATTAGTATGTGGTGCTGTATATATATTTCTGAATTGCATCTGTTGGTTTTGGCGGGCGAGAGGTACATAGCCGTTGTATATCCTTTCCGTTATTTACAATTGGCGTCTACCAAACGTGTTAACCTCGCTATTGCACTCGTATGGATGAGTGGTACAATGCTCTGTTTATCTGCTTTTGTAAATAATAGAACATATTTTCTCGTTTCCATAATTTTCAAAATATTGGCATTCATAGGTTTGTCTTTTTCTCACATGAAAGTATACATCGAAGCAAAACACCAAGTTTCTAAAATTTCGTCTATCGAAAATCAGTTGGTTCGTCAAGGAACAGCGAACAATAGAAAAGCTGAGAACCGTGCAACAAAGACAACGATGCTAGTATTTGGTGCCTACTTGATTTGCTATTTCCCGAATACTATTTACATCATACGATGCTTAATACTATTTGGTACCGAATTTGAAGCAAGATTCAATTACAATTCAACATTGCTTAGTTATCTTGTCATTCTTATGTATGCTAACTCAGCAATGAATCCAATCATATATTCCTGGAGAAACAGAATCTTTATGAGAAGTGCTATTGATTCACTACTACGCAATCGAGAAAGAGAGACAATGAGCGTAATATATTGACAATTTTATGCTACATTTCTATTAATTCTATCATATTTTGCGTCCTATACTGTAGTTTTTACCTTTTTGCCCTAATGGCGATCATTGCATATAGGCCTACCCCGACTGAAGAATAGTGCGTCCAATCATCACAACTTTTAACCAATCAGATGTTACAGCCCTAATTAGATGGATTTACCATGAGCATGTATGCATGTTCAGGAAAGCGTTTAGTGTGTGTAACGCTTTACGACATGCTTGGGATCATACAATTTATACAAGCACCTTCAAAATATAGAAAATAATGACGTCTTATTGACCTAGTCTCATTTGTCATATTTTTGTATAGATATTTTTAATGAAAGTGACTTCGTCAGCTCAAACAGATTAACTAAAATAAAACGATTGTTTAAAGTATAGTTGTAGTGAAGTTTTAAATGTAATAAAAACGTGAATTTTTATCAAAATGCTACTTAAAAGTTTTCTTATGTAATACTTATTTTTAATGGATATTGTTTTACAATTGGTTGTTTGATTAACCTTCCCTGTTGTCCATAGTATGAATATATTAATGTATCAATCAGTCAATTAACGGTTTATTTGAAAAAAAAAATCACCACAGGAAAAGGTGAGTTAGTACAATATTTATATCAAAACTTACAGAAAAACAGATTTAGGCTTAAAGTAATTAAATACATAAAGCTAATATAAATATATAAAAGTCAAGCATAAATGTAAAATAATAGGCCTATATACAAAGCTGAAAAACCACTTGTCGGAATATGCTTACACTACATTTCTTCAATTTTAATTATTACACATCAAACAATGTATACACGTCACCAATTGCAGGATAAAAATATAAAATATATAAACCTACACAAAATCAATAAAAAGCATAAAATTATGATAGAAATTATTTTCCAATCAACAAATTTTAACCATGAACAATACCGATGTTTGGTATGTTTTTTTAATTCTCCTATTTCGGAGTTTTATGGAATAATTGAATTTAATAAAGTTTCTTGAAAAAATAGGCATATAATTTAAGAGACACTGTAGATTAAAATAGGTCTGCATGAATAACTCATTTGAAGATATTTATTCCATTGTTGAGATATTGAGGGTTCTTGTTCGACAACTTTTTGTCATTTCTAAATTGTTGTGAGATAAATAAAGCCTTTTACGTTATCAGTGTATTACCTACGTCACAGTTAAGTACATGTTCTCCAAAACCTATGATATACCGATGTTGAAAACTTTCCCATGAATTTATGTACATACATGGGCGTATTTATTTCCACACTACATTTTCAAAATACAGTGGCGGATGCAGTGGCGTAGCCAAGGGGAGAGGGGAAGAGGTGGGGCCGAGGTGGGGCCAGGGTCCCCCAGATTTTGGCCTCCCCCACCCCAGCTAGCCTCTCACCCCTGAGGTGGCTAAAGAGGTTCATTGACATTTCTACATGTCGATATGATTACTCGAATTCTGCAGCTCAACCAGTTCGTAGTTTCGACTGGCGACTTCCATTCCACCGAGAAATGTTCGCTTCGCTGTTGTTCTTCTAAAATCACTCAAGCGTCACTCACGCGTGGCAATTAGTTTTAGTTTACAGTACTGTACAGTGTGCCTATATATATTGGCAATCACAGGCATTTATACAAACTCACAGTGTTCTCTACACACTTTTCTTGGTACAAGACAATGGCTAAAGTACAATCCCGTTACAATCCTTTTCCCGGTTATTCATGTTTCTAAAATTTAACTGTTATTCGATATTAAGATACAAAATACAATAGTTTCATCATGGTTTGAAATGAATAAACTGCTATAAAACCATAGAGCTATTCTTATTTCTCTATGTATAAAACATAGGCTACGTTCAGACTTGAGAAATACGCCAGGCGTATCTAACGCCGGGAGTATGTTAATCCATGGCGTAACTAGCGAGTGTCGTATTCGTAATTCGCGCATTTTATTTTCTGTTTACATCTAGATTTATTTTGATTGGTCAAATCTTGGCTGAGCTCAAAATATCACCGATGCGTGACTGTCGTAAATCAGTGGCGTACGCTAATCTGGGGTCTGTTGCTGGATTACCGTACGCCAGTGATTGCGCGATACTGGCGTCCGCTAGTACGCCACGCACAAGTTCACACCACTGGATTAACGTTACGCTAGCGTAAGTCGCTGTGTCTGAACAATAGCCATATATCGTTCATTTTCATTCTTTAATTCAATAGAAATTTCACTTGATTTATACATTATTATCTGAGAGCGCACGGGCTGAGGTCACGTAAGATAGCCATTTATATAGCCATATAAATTGGAGGAACCAAATGCTCTGGGCCAGGGGGCCCTTCGCGGCCCCAGACCTCCAGCATTTGGTTCCTCGCTTCGATCAGAACACTTG